TGCACTAACACTCTTCTTCAATCACCTTCAAGATCCAATGTGAAGCAAAAACACTAACAAGAAAAATGACATGGAAAATCAAGGTCCAAGGAAAATTCCTCATCAATTGAAATAACAATGCCACTTCCACTAACACAATTGCTAGTGATGTCAATGTCCCAACTACACATCTTTTCTATCCAACAATCTACTCCAAGTGCTAATGGATCAACTGACAAGTCATAGCAAGTGAATGCTATAACCTTTTTTTCCAACACCTAATGGGCAAATTCAAGGAAACAAGGTACTAACATAAGCTTAGCATAATGGACCATCACCGAGAATCCAGTTAAAGATACCTCAATGCTACTTCATGCAGATAGACTAGCTTCACTATCAACCACTTTGGGGTTGATCATCATTTACCCAAGCAACTTCGTAAATACTTTGTTTATTATCACATGGATATGATATAAATCACAATGACTTGATCATCAATCAAGCAACACTATGAGCAATGCCCATGTCACTACTGCAAAGGTTTATGTGAATATCAAGTGCCAACTCAATTCGACAAAATGTAACATAAATGCCACACCCCATCAATAGAGATTTACAACACCTAACACCACTAACTTTTGTTCACGACACGAACAAGCTCATGCCACTCTCTTTCCGACCAAACTCAACACTAATTCAACACAAAGCTACTCAAGGAGCAATAGCAAGGTTCCCCGGAAAAGAATTGAGCATTGCAACCCAAGTCTTCCAATAGCTAGCCTAGACAAAATGGTATAGCACTTCACCGCTATCCATCCCACAACTCACCATTGTAAAACCACCATCTCCAACATGCATCAAGATAGGGATTCTTGATTGCATAATGTGAACATAAGCAATGAGTTAACACCTCGTTGCAGATCATCTCTCCAAGAAGAGAAAATGATTTACGTATTTGATCCTCCGTCCCCGATGACTCTCTTTTCGGTCTTATCTTTGACCAAACCTTAAGCTTGCTTTCGCACTGCCTTCAGTTCAACCGAAGAAAAGTTTATGAGAGAGCACGGCCATGACTACTTGAACCAATAGACTAATCCCTATAGTCTTGATTAATCCACTTATAATCATGCCTAGGAAGGATCCATTAGTGCCATGCTAAACAGCTACGGACCAGCCTATTTGCCACTCATAGCAAACCCAGGGAGGTTTGCTTTCACCCATGGTACAAGGAATAACTTATGGAACCACTGGAACCACTCATGGAACCACCAATAGGCTAACATTAATCCTGCCAACTTAAAGTGTAACTTCAAGTTGCTAATGTGCCTCATTTACGAGCCCAAGCGAAAACTCGTGTTAACGGAACAACTTATATCCAACTTATGAGCCCAAGCGCAAGCTCATATAATACAGTACAAAATGGTAACCAAATCCATACCCAAGGAACGATTGTGAAGTCTTAGCACCCAAACGTGTACTCACTCGGATCATCGTTTTCATCTCTGCGTATACAACGAGACTAGTTGCCTAATTTCATTGAATAGTACTTGCTGAGACTCATCCTCTGATACCAAATGTAACGCACATGGTTTTGACCCTTTATCCTATGGTGATTTACCATAGGATAACACCACGAAGCAGAACCTAAACCCTCTTTGTGCCACGTGACAGATGCCACATGTCACATACCATGTGTCCAAAGGAACATGGTGCGGAACTCGAGGTTTAGGGCCTTGGGCCACTAAACGAAGGAACGGTGCCAAACTCCCAAGCGTGAAGCCAAGGAGTGATGGAACCAGACCACGGAGCAACTCCCGAGCATATAGCCCAAGGAGCGAAGGGATAGGAGCTCGGAGCGACTTGGAATAGTCCTGGAGCAACCAACATCCCAATGCCAAGACCAACACGCAAAACGGAGCCAAATGGAGTCTGGTGCTATTTCGGCATACCGGTGTCCTAATGTGAGGATATGGGTACTCCACCAGCTAGCATGGAATGGAACTTGGGCTTAGATCTAAGCTAGATGCAAAACAAGGATAGGCATGCAAGCGGGAGCTAGACTATACCTCAGGTTGGTTGGCCATACCCGACCTACCCACTATCCCTACCGCCCCCCCCCCCCTTGAGGAACACACGCTTTGGGCTTTCACCCCAAGCCTCCTTTAGTATCAGGAGTTAGTCTCTGGGACAAGCTCAAAACTTATTAAACATAGAATGGCGCTAGATTGTGAATTTGGACACGGGATGAACACCATTGTGTTCAGGCCGATCTCTACATTCCATAGATATGCCAAATGAGCAAATCTGGACACTTTTCATAAATAGCATTTGGGATCGAAATGAGACTAACACAAAGGGCATGATAGCAAGGGTGTTTGGCAGACACGGTAAGCTATCATCTAGCGATATTGAGGACCAAGCTCAATATCGCGGGGGTTCCCAACATTAGCAAGTGTAAGTCAACGAATGAGTTTCTCTAACCAGGTCAAGTATATTTGACTAATAGCACTTAGGAATTCCGTTCTTATGCCCATCTGGTCAAGTGCACACGCGAAGACTAATTTCTCAACTAGCTTAGGTGGAGGCTGATAACAAGTCTAGCAATACCGACCTTCTGCTGGCGTGGCAGTAAGGTAAGAGTGTCCGTAAGGACTGATCGACAGGTCATTTTCGATACCCGAAGTCACATTCGCGACAATCAATAATACTTTATATTCTTTTAGTTGTCTTTTGTAAGTTGTTTGGCATACTATCTACAATATTTGATAATTAAGTTTTATCATTGAGTTTTCTTAATGATACACTTGCTATTAAATTTTATTGGATAGTTAATCCTATGATGACTTTAACCTTTCATGATCTTGGTGGTTCTTATACTACTAGTTTATCAGATGATAACTTATTTGGAATACTTTTGTGTTCTATTCTACATATTTTTCACTGATAATTAAGTTTCTAAGATATCATTGTCTTTAATTTTGATATTGTCCGTCTCTTAATCTTTGGGTTTGGGCTAGTAAAGGTAGAATATCTTCAACACTTTGTGTGTATAGTGAAATATTTAGTCATGGGGTAGTTATTGTTAATTGGTCATATCACCTACCTCTTTTTTAATGTTTTTAATTCTGTTTTAAATGGCATGACCGTGTAAACAACTCTAACTACCCATTTACAGTAATCTATCTAAACCTTACTAATGGGTTTGGTTCTCTCTATATTATTTGCAAGTAAGGGCATATCATCTTTTGTAACCTGGGTGACACCATAGTGGCTAACTTTATTAATCATTTCCTTGTTGATGACAATTGAAAAGTGTTTGAGTTCTAGTGCATTTGCATTAAACAAAAAAATTGCCTTTTAACTCATTTAAGTCAATGCATTTCTCTTAAAGTGTACCAGCGTTGAACTTCTCCTTGCATCACAAACTTGTACTCTGTCTTCCTTTCGGACTAACAGTCACCTGCAGTGCAAGGATATGTAACACTCACTGCTCGTTTACCCATGCTAGCACGCCATCGACATACTTGAACGAGTACTTCCCAGGCAACATGTATCTTCCCGCTTCCATTGATATGGCCTAATCACTGCTGGTTCACCCTTTAAAGCCTCCAGCTTGAACACTTCGATTTGTTCCCCTTGGAAGTTCAACCCGATAGCCTCTCCAACAAAACCCTCGCAAGCCCACCCGACTTCCGGCCAAATCACGTTGGCTTTCTTGAGTTTGTGCAGAAGGTTGTTCTTGAACTCTAGTGAGCGATAGACTGTGCCCTTCAAGCGCTCTAAAGCCGCTTCTGCATGTACTGCATGGAGATAGTTGGTGCAAAAAGATCCATTGTGAACATGGCCCTTGAACACAGATGCAGGATCTCTAAGCTTCTCTACCTCCCCTGCGTACCTGTTCTTGATGTAGTCTCGGATGGATTCAAAGGGCTCAGCTGCCCTGAAGTTAAGCAGGACCATTTCCACTCTCTCTTTTCGTCCAGGTACTTCTCTGGGCTTTCCCTGTAGATTTCATTTCCCGTACCCAGATCCAGCATAGGAATGCCCAAACGTCTCTTCTTGCTGAAGAATGTCTGTGTGATGCCTTCAACGTACCCTTTACAAGCTTTGTCTAGGAAGAACAGGGACATCGGGTGCTTGCCATCATAAAGCATAACATCCGCCTTGACAGTGTAAGCCAGAAGCTCCCAAGGGGCAGAGCTGATTATTGTGTAAGCTCCAGGTTGAGGAAGAAATTGTGAAACTGGATGCATCAAACTCCGTTACCACAGCATTCAGGTAACAAAAACCGCGATCTTAATCGTTATATGGTTGCAGCGACGTCTCTGCAAACTTGACATCCGAGTTGATTGCCGTGAAAACTGTCTACCCATCCCTGTGGCTCGCAAATTTCTTCTCCTTCAAGGTAGAAGACCCGAAAGGCTGTGTCCATCGCTTCACTTGCGGTACCTTGGTCTATCCGCGTCATCATCGTCACTATCATAACCTGTGTCACGCAGGGACACAAAGCCTTGAAGAGGTCCTTGCAACAGTTTCGGTCCGGATTGGCTGCGAGGACGACAGCCTCCAACTCTTGGTAAATCCGGTGGTAGCGTCGAGTCCATTGATTTGATATATCCAGGTTGACATGGGCAGTACAAAGACGATGAAGGCGACTTGATACTTTTGTCCAGCGACAACGACTTGGCGCTGGCCGTGGCCTCCGCGAAAGCTTACGGAATGAAGGTACATCGAGTTTTCAAAGCTAAACACACGCTTTCTTTCACTCGCCTCTCGCAGGTATTGAGGCTTTACGTCGACTGCCCACACACGGCGGGGAAGCTGTGCAGATGGAAATCGCTTCGCAGGACGGTGATTGCATCCATTATGCAAGACAGACTGGCAACGAGCCATGGAAGCTCGCCTGGAACCGGGTTCTCAGCTTTAGGCAGCGGCAAGAAGAAGATCTGTGACATCACTTGATGCTATAACAACCGTATCTCCTTCTTTGACGATGTCACTACCTGGTTTAAATCCCAAAAGCTTCGTTGACAGAACAGTAGCTCAAGCTGACCTCTGGCTTCTCCAGCGTAAACGATCAGAATACCATAGCAAAGTCGGGCACTTGTTGTGATTCAAAGCTCACCTCTATGGCGGCACAAAGCGAACATCAGTACTCCTGTTGCTTTCCAACTCGTTGCTCTCGAAAGTGACGAAGTAGCGCCAGTGCCTAGACACATTTCCGTATCAAAAAATCCCTCTGTGAGCGTAGAAAGAAAGTTGAAGTACCTTATCTTTGCCTCGTGGTGTGCCCGCGAGAGATAACGCATGCAACGGTGGCACCGCGCCTTCCTGCAACACCATTGCTCGGTGCTTGCTACTGTTGATGCAGAGATGGAGCAGAGCAGCCGCGGCATTCTCTTGTCCTCGCGGGGAGCCCGTCTCCACCACCTGGACCAGCGCGATGATGCCTCCTTCCTCGGCGATGGACACTCTCCCTTCTGGCACAGTTGACAGATTCGCCAGTATGGCAACCGCTTTGTCCACCATGCCCGTCGCAGCTTGCGAGGCCAGCTCCACCAGCGGCCTGATAGCTCCAGCTCTGACCATCCTCGGCTTGTTGTCGTGAGAGGTTGAGAGGTTGAAGAGCGCCGTTGCTGCGTCCTTCTTGCCACCGGGGCTGCCGCTTGCCAGCAGTTCCACCAGAGGAGATATCGCACCCGCGGCACCAATCACTTCCTTGTTGTTGTCCACCACGGAAAGGTTGAAGAGCGTAGCGGCAGCGTTCTCCACTGCTGCGCTGCTTCCCGCTTTCAACACCCTCACCAGTGGATCGATGGCACCCGCCCGGGAGATCTCCGCCTTGTTGTTGTCGTTGATGGAGAGGTTCAAGAGAGCTGTCACGGCGATTTCCTGGGTTTGCTCGTCACCATCGTCTAATAACGCGATCAGAGGCCTCACGGCACCGGCCTCGACAACCAATATCCTGCTCTGTATGTCGTCTTTAGCCAGCAGGCGTAGCTCTGCCGCCGCGTACTTGCGAGCTCCAGCAAACGGAGAGCTCAAATCAGTCACCAAGTTCGTAATGAGTTGCTCGAAAGCCTGCGACGTCTCACCACTTCTTGTCACCCTGTCCTGAAAGCTGTTATGCCGTTTGTCGAGCTCCAGTAAGGAATGAAAGCGAGAAGCTCGGCCCAGGGACTTGGTTTGCCTGTAGTAGCGGCCACTGGCCGCGTTCCTTGCACAGCCCACATTTTTCTCAAGAGCAGCAGCCTCAGCAACGTTGTTTGCTTCACACCAGCTTGTGATGAGCGCCTTGACCGTATAGTTTGGTATCAAGTTGTCATGCGGCAAAGGTTGGCGTGTCTTTGGACACGAAAAGTTTCCCTGCTCCAGCCACCTCTGGATATAAGCTCTCTCGTATGTCTGCCCCGAGGCCACAATCACCGGATCCACCATCAGCTCCAAAGAAAGGGGACACCTGAAATCTGCTGGGATAGGCACACCCCAAGCCTTGTCATCGTCGTCTATTTCGCTCAGCAGTTGAGTGAAGAGCAACAAGACGTCCTGTATCTCGGCCTTTTGGTCCTCCGAGGCAGCACTCTCCCCCTCTCTCTGCAAAGCTTCCAGCTCCTTCCCTAGGCCATTGTTGCATCTGATGCCCACCTTGCTTGCAATGCTCTGGAGCTTGTTTCTCCCAACGGCTTTCCCATGTCTATGTTGCAAGAGCATTGTGTCGATTTCCTCGGCTAGCCTGGCATCGGACACGTCTACAAAGTAGCTGCTATTTCCACCAGCCTGCAAGACTGTCGTTTCGTTAAGGAGTGTTACTATCTGTAAAGAATGTGAGAGGTGCTTGCCTTGTGAGGAAAATTCTTCAAGGCGTGCTCGATTTGCAGCGTCACATCCTTAAATCTTGTAGTCAAGAGCTGGCAACGCCATACCTGGAAGGAAATCTCGGTACTAAGCTAACTTTTCAAGGCTTTCACTATTAAGCTTACCTTGTATATCTTGCTTCCCGACATGTCCAACAAGACCTTAGCTCCTTGAAGCGCATTTTCAAGAGATCGAGCCCTTTCTCCTGCGATCGCACATGAATCCCCCTCAGCCAGCACTGCGGCTACGGACTTGAGATATACTAGAAGCTGCAGCTGATGCGAGGATAGCGAGTGCCTGCCAGAAGAAGCAGTAGAAGAGCCAGTGTCGCCGCCATGTTCGCAGGCAGCTATCAAACCCCGTAGCACGCCAGAAATTCGGGCGTGCGCAGTGCCACGATTCGCCTCCATTCCCGAAATATCCGAAGTATTTCTTTCCCGCGCTCACCACCTGGACTATAGGGAAGTTGTGTGGAGGAGCATTCTCACTCCATACTGGGAAGGCCGATCGAGGCGAGGGGATCCATTGGCGGCGATGCAAACCCTACTGCTAGCGCTGTGCTCCGCTGTGGAGCTGCCGAGGGCGGCAATTCGTATAAAATAACAAACGTACACGTCAGCTCCTTAAAAACAACACCAGCAAGATGATTCTTTGTTCTTAAGAAAAGAATCTCATTTAAAAAAGCTATAATATGAATAATTGGTTTGCTTAAGAAAATCTGTGGTGGTAGTGGATATACCTAAAATATTCTTGGATTCTGGGATATTTTACCATCTAACAGTTGTTATTTATTTAGATTTATTTTTTATTTTTTATTTATAAATATTTATAATTTATAAAAAAATTAAATACTTATTATTATATTTTATTTTTCTGTGAAGGAATATTTTAAAAATCTTAATAGTTGTTGTGCTTATAAATTATAAACATATTTATAATTATAAACATGCATTTGATCATTTGGATTAATAAATTGTAAACTAGATAGACAACAGGAATAGTTGCTTTGATAATATATAGGCAGAAAGAAATGAGTTTATGATTGCTTTGATCTACTAATTATCATGGATGGATTGCTCACTACCAAGGAGCATGTGAGACTAGAGATCAAAGGAACTAGAAGAAAGCATTATATTTTGTAATGAGATAGAATTTATTTATGAAAAGATGGGTTTGAGCTCGCTCAACTTAAAAGTGAGTGAGTAAATACAAAATGTGATTTAAAAATAAAAATTTGAATTTTTTGTATCCAGTTTCTCTTAAATCCTATAGCAACTGATTTGTGGCACCAAGTTGACAGCAACCAAACCTATATGCCTTGTAAAACTTCAATTATACTTTTTGGTATATAATAAGAATCTGGCTGATTGATGAATTATTATTCAAACTATTCAAACTACTCACTCTTGTATATAAGCTAGGTTTTTTTGGTTAATTGATATGCATATTGTTTGTATTCCATTTCTATATTCTATGTACTCATAATGTTAAATTTTGACTTATAACATAAGATATTATTAGTAATGTAAATGTAAATAGTTTATAGAGGCTCAAATACCTTTTTTTATCAGATATTTAACTTATTGTAAAATAATCAAATTGCAGCAATAATCTCAGACAAAGACAATGACAATATATAAGAATATTAACTACTGGAAGTTGAGTGATGATATTTATTTTTTTCCTAAAGAAATTAAACTTATTAACACATACAAATTCTCTTTTCATTTATTCATGAAAAAAAAAGTTTATTTATAAACTTGATTCTCTTTTAAAAAAATTTGTGATTACTATTACTCTTATAAATTTTATAGATACTCATGGTAAATCTTAGTAACATATAATATACACTAATTTATTAGTTATAAATTTTCTTTCCCAATTAGTGTAAAAATTTGCTACGTATTGCATGTAGCAATGCTTGGTTTGCTTAATAATAGTGTTATTCCTACTTATTAATTCAATTGATCAAATAATTATAAACATGTTTATAATTTATAAACACAAGATTAATCATACTGGATATCAACTATTAGATGGTAGAAAAAAAAGAATATACTAGAAAGGGCTTACGAAAGTTCATAAATTATAAACATGTTTACAAATTATAAATATAAGATTAATCTCAACCGTTAGATGGTAAAATATCCTAGAATATCCAAGCATATTCTTAAGCAAACCAAAAATAGAAGTGTAAGTATTCCTAATTAGATCTTTTATAAAACTCATGTTTACAGACTGAATTTAGCAACAAAATATTCGCCGTAGTTTCTCCACGAGGCTGGAAAGGAAGCTCGAATCCGATGGGATGTCTGGAGCCTGATCAGGCATATCCTTTGGCAAGTGCCTGTGGAACGCGTTCACCGCTTCTTTCACGCCGTCCTCCCCGTCCATATGCTTGGCCAGTTGAATCGCTCGCTCTTTCACCTTTTTCCCAAGCCAAAGAATGAGAAACTATCGATCTATGCTAGGAAGACGTGACCAATCTTACCTCCGGCTCCAGCATGAAACGAATGGCAGCAACGAGCTTCTCCAGCGTGAATTGATTCACTGGAATTGGAGCTGGGCCAACTCCTTTAGCATGGACTTGCTCTCCCCAGAATGGCTGATCCCCGAAAATGGGAACTACAGTCGTCGGGCACTGCCAAGCACGCACACTCAGTAAGTCAAAAAAACCTCCGCTCTTGCTCTTGCTTATACCGCAGCTTTGAGACCGGCAGCTGTTGTTCCCGCGCCTCCATGATGAACCTACGACATAGAAAGAGAGGGTTGGATGAATTGCAAAAGAAAGTTGTCATGAGAAACGTACCACTCCAGCGCATTGTGGAAAAAGCCAGTCGTGAGGACAGTTATCAAGTAAATAGATAAAATCTGGTGGATCTTTTACTGCAAAACGGAGTCCAAGTTTGATAACGCACATGAAGTTTTAAAAACGAATTACTTACTGTCACCCAGGCCTCCCCAACCCCTGGAGATTATGCCGCGTTGGCCAGTTTCTTCAAGAGCTTTTACTATGATCGACGTCATCCCCTTGGGATCTTGAACAGGCTTCCCAAAACTCGGCGTCAAAACAACACTCGTATGCAATGAAGAAGGATTTAAGACTTACAAGGCTTCCAAAACCAACGTAAATTGGCTTTGCTCCTGCTTGCAGCCACTTGGAGAGTTCCGCATGGGGCTCATAATCTCTGGCAAGATCTAGAAAACAGAAGCCAACCACGTCGACACGCTGGCCCCAGTCTGCAAACAAGTGGAAACTTAAATCAACGTGACACGGAAAAAGAAGATACGCAATACCTCTGGGCTTGGGGACCAGATGTGGACTCCATATGTAACCCGTAGGTAAGTCCGATATTGATCCTATTGAACCGCTCAAGTAGGTAATTGGACGGAGCTTAAGTTTCTTCTTCCGGAAGTCGTTTATCATGCTCCGAATTCCCCACCATATGAGGGAGTCCACAACTTGGTAAGACATCTGCCATTATTTCAAAACTCACAAAAATGTTCGCCATAGTATAACTCGCCACTCACCCGGTAACCAGCCGGATTCTTGATGCGTGCCAACGGATGAGGAAACTCACTGGTCGGCCTGCAATAGCGGCCACGGGACATGTTAGTGATAGTAGAAGAAAGAACGTCATGTTTTTTCTTACGTCCAAGGCATTGTAAAGAAAATGTGAAGTGGGACTCTCAAGTACTCAGCCACATGAACATGACCTGCAGAACTGTCGGCATTGTAAACGAGATAAAAAAGCCGAGAGAAACTTACCATACGCGGGAGGATTTGCAATCATCGCCTGAGCTCTGAAAGGAACTGGTCCATCAGCCTCAATACAGGCAGGAAGCAACGAGTTTATGATAGCTTTGATCTGCTTTCTTTGAATAGTTATCTCGGATGGATTGGAAGGAAGAAACCCTTTGTTTTTCACCATGTCTGTAATGAGCGCGACCTGTCAGTGAATGAGGCATCAAACAATAAGCTCAAACTGCTACCAGTTGACACGTACATCCAGCTAGAATTTTCGGATCCCCGCCTAAAGGATAGAACTCCAGCCCAGCAGTCAACACAAACTCCCGAAAGTTGGCGTGTGTAGCGAGGCGTACACGGTGGCCGTATTCCTGCGTAAGTAATCGCACGCATGAGTGAGATTTTCACTTCAGAAAAATGAACGAGGAAAACACCTGTAGATGCTTTCCGATCGCAATAAATGGTTGAACATCCCCTCGTGTACCAACGATGAGCATTACAATCTGCAATGGCTGCACTTTGAACTTCCTCTCGTCCCACTCCTCGTCGTAAATACGAAGGGAATCGCTTAATTCGGGCGCAATGAGCTCGGGCATGATGCGAGCACTTCCAGCCACATCAAACTCGACAGTTCCATCCGTCTTAACAGTAGCCAAGCGTTGCAACATCTTTTTCTGGAGATCAAAAGAAGAAGGTAGTCAGTCCAAGGAATTTATGTTGAAGGAATGTTTACCTTTCTTCTGTCGGACAACTTATCCGCGACCTTTCTTCGTATGTTTTCTTCCTCGTGTCTTTGCAAGCTAGCTTTCTCCGTGGCTGATCGCAGCAACCTTCCATTGGTGGTATGATCGCGCGTTTCCTCGCCATTCGTGGCGGGCATGGTCACTGACCGTCCCAATCCCCTATCTTCTCACCGCCAAACACAAAAGGTTCTAAGCAAGGAAAAAATAAAAGCAAAGGAGAAGACTAACCGGATCCGGAGGAATTGTCTCCTCGCGACGACGGCGTCGAAGTGGACGCTTCGTCCGATCGCAGCGGCAAAGCTTGCTCGAGCATGAGGAGCGATGGAGCCGAGTACGTCAAGTGGAGCTTGGGCTGATCGTCCGGCGGCTTCACCCGGCACACATCCGACGCCGATTCCTTCAACATCCGCTCGGGCTTGACGCCTTGATCATCGATCTGCTGCGCGGCGGCGGCATTGGCATTAGCTGGACTGGATGGAGCCGAGGAGGAAGAACTGTCCATCGCGACCAAATATCCCAAACCCTTTGTTTCCTCCAAAATCGTGGCGCTGATCCTACTGTAGCTCCCTAGATCGGTTGATCCCAGCCGAAAAGCTCCGCTCCTAGTGGATTCCAATCTGCTGCTCCACCCATGGCGAAATCCTCGCTACATGGCGACCAAAACGATCAATCGCAACCTTTGGAGCTGCGGGAAGTCCGATTCACGGTGTGATCACAGACCTAGGGCCCAAGGATGGATTGGATCCGGCGATGGCGATGGAACGCCTCCGGCTCGTTGCGCCGCGCCATAGCTATGCGCTGGACACAGAAGCGCCATAGTCACCCCGATGCCGTCCATCTCAACGGCTTTGTTTTACGCATATTCTATGACGATTCTCCGTAGATTCACATCTAGGTATATTCTCTCTTGCCCTAATTTGCTAGGGCTGGGGAGCATGGGCAAGGAGAGGGACCGCAAGAGCGAAGAGCGCAAGGGCGAGCGGTCATCACGGGGCGAGGATTCGAAGCGCGAGCGCGATCGGGATCGAGACCGCCACAAGGACAAGGTACGCAGCAGTAGGGATCGAGATCGAGAGCGCGATCGCGAGAGGCATCACCACAGGGACAGGGAGCATCACAGGGAAAGAGAGCGGGACAGGGACAGGGAAAGGGATCGGGACAGAGACAGGCATCGCGAGCGCGAGAGAGATAGGAGGAGCAGGGACCGTGAGAAGCGAGAGAGAAGTAAGCAAGAGGAGGATGACGAGGAGAGGGAGAGGGAAGCGAAGAGGGCGAGAAAGGAAGATGGTGGCGATAGTAGTGGTGAAGGGAAGGGTGTGGAGGAGGAGGGCGGCGACGACAAGGAGGCCGAGCAGAAGAGATTGGACGAGGAGATGGAGAAGCGGAGGCGGAGAGTCCAGGAGTGGCAAGAGCAACGGCGGCAAAAGGAAGATGAAGAAAGGGAGAGCAAAGGTATTGCAGCTCAAGGCGAGCAAGGCGAGGTCGCAAATGGCAAGGCATGGACGCTCGAAGGGGATGAGTCTGACGAGGAGGTTGGAAATGGTGATGCGGCTGCTCGAGCTGAAGAGAGCCAAGCTAAGGAAGGTGGAGGAGTCGAGGAAGCTCCAATGGAAGTTGTCCAGGAAGAAGAGGAGGAGGTGGATCCTTTGGATGCTTTCATGAACACCATAGTCATTCCCGAGGTGAAGAAGCTCCAAGCGGCGCCGCCTTCTGTCGCTGGTGCTGGAGCTACCGCTCAAGAATCTAAAGCCTCACAGCCTCCAAGCATCTTGAAGAAGAACCGAGGACCTCGAGGAGACTCGGAGTCGGAGGTGGAAGCCGGAGATGACGACGACAGTGATGCCGAGGAAGACGACGAGGACTTTATAAAGCGGGTGAAGAAGACCAAAGCCGAGAAGCTGGCGGTGGTCGACCACACAAAGGTTCCTTACACTTCCTTCCGCAAGGACTTTTACAAGGAGGTGAAGGAGATCCAGAGGATGAGCAAGGAAGATGTCACGGCATACCGCAAGGAGCTGGAGCTCAAAGTCAAGGGGAAGGACGTCCCCAAGCCGATCAAGACGTGGAACCAGACCGGCCTGAGCAGCAAGATGCTGGACGTGATAAAGAAGCTGGGCTTCGAGCGGCCCATGCCGATCCAAGCACAGGCGCTTCCGATTATCATGAACGGCCGGGACTGCATTGGTATCGCAAAGACAGGCTCCGGCAAGACGCTCGCCTTCGTTCTGCCGATGCTGAGACACATCAAAGACCAGCCGCCGCTTGCTCAGGGGGACGGTCCCATCGGTCTCATCATGGCTCCGACGAGGGAGCTTGTGCAACAGATATACAGTGACATAAAGAAATTCACCAGAGTTATTGGGCTTACCTGTGTCCCTGTCTATGGTGGCTCTGGAGTCGCCCAGCAGATTAGCGAGCTCAAGCGTGGTGCCGAGATAGTAGTGTGCACACCGGGAAGAATGATCGATATACTGTGCACCAGCTCCGGGAAGATCACAAACTTGAGACGGGTGACATACTTGGTGATGGACGAGGCCGACCGCATGTTTGACATGGGCTTTGAGCCACAGATAACCAGGATCGTCCAGAACACGAGGCCGGACCGGCAGACGGTGCTCTTCTCCGCGACGTTTCCACGCCAGGTTGAGCTCCTGGCTCGTAAAGTCTTGGACAAGCCGGTGGAGATCCAAGTTGGAGGACGCAGTGTGGTGAACAAGGACATAACTCAGACGGTGGAGGTCCGTCCGGAGGAGGATCGTTTCCTGCGGCTGCTCGAGCTCCTCGGCGAGTGGTACGAGAAAGGAAAGGTGCTGGTGTTCGTCCACTCGCAGGAGAAATGCGACAGCCTCTTCAGGGACCTTCTCAAGGCCGGGTATCCGTGCTTGTCTCTCCACGGTGCCAAGGACCAGACCGACCGGGAGTCGACGCTGTCCGACTTTAAGTCCAATGTTTGCAACCTCTTGGTGGCGACGAGCGTCGCAGCGAGAGGTTTGGACGTGAAGGAGCTGGAGCTGGTCGTCAACTATGACGTTCCCAATCACTACGAGGACTACGTCCACCGCGTGGGACGCACTGGACGGGCGGGCCGGAAGGGATGTGCCGTGACTTTCATCGCCCCCGACGAGGACAGATACGCTCCCGACCTTGCCAAGGCGCTGGAGCTCTCGGAGCAGCCCATCCCCGAGGACTTGAAGAGCCTGGCTGATGGTTTCATCGCAAAGGTGAACCAGGGGAGTGAGAAGGCTCACGGCAGTGGCTATGGTGGCAGCGGCTTCAAGTTCAACGAGGAGGAGGACGAAGCTCTCAGGGCCGCGAAGAAAGCCCAGGCCAAGGAGTATGGCTACGAGGAAGAGGAGGAGCCTGGCGAGACGGACGATGACAACGAAATCCGGAAGACAGGAGTGGACATGATGCTGGCCTTCACAAACGCAGCCAAGGCCGTGAACTCTCAAGCCGCTGGAACCTCCGTCGCCGCCATCCCGGTCCTGCCGAGCATCACCATCCCGGGGATAGTCCCCGGCCAGCCGTCGGACTTCCGCGACAAGGCGATCCAGGTGGTGAAGAACTTGCAGCACAACATCCAGAAGATCACGGCCGAGTCGCTCCAGGAGCGGTACGAGGCGGAGCTGGAGATCAACGACTTTCCCCAGCACGCTCGCTGGAAAGTCACGCACAAGGATGCGCTGGGACAGATTAGCGAGTGGACTGGAGCCGCGATCACGACTCGCGGGCAGTTCTTTCCACCGGGGAAGATCCCAGGCCCCGGCGAGCGCAAGCTCTATCTCTTCATCGAAGGTGGATCCGAGACCTCGGTTAAGAAGGCCAAGGGGGAGATCAAGCGCATCCTGGAGGAGTCTACGTCCAACATGGTGTTGCAACCGGCTGTCCAACCTGGGAAGTACTCTGTCTTATGATTCATACTCGACGCTTCTAAAGTTTGCTTCGTTTTTTCTTTTTTCTTTTTCACGGTGGGCTTCTTTTTTTCTTGAAGGCTGGCAGGATGCCATAGGCTGGGAACTGCTTGTGAGACGCATTTGTCTCTCTGCTTACCAATCACTTATAAAGCTCACCTTTTTTTTATTTACTTGCGTTTTTTTTGGTTACGTGTTTTAACCAGAGACTTTTGTGGCTTTCAGGGGGAGCGATTCTCTTGGGAGCTTTGCAAGCACGAGAAGATTTATACCATCCGACAATGGTGATGGGAAATGGTGAGTTTCATTTCTTCTTGTTTTTAACATTCTCACGCTCGTCTTCGTCGTCATCGTCATTGTCATCGTCATCTTCATCATCTTCATCATCGTCTTCATCATCGTCATCGTCGTCCTCATCATCTTCATCGACCTCATTGTCTTCGTCATGGATCTCCACTTTTTGCTTCACTGCTGCTGGCTTGCTCTTGTCCGTGTCCTTGTTCTTGCTGTTGTCAATCCCGCTGGGAGGCGGGAGCTTGCAGCTCTTCAAGGTGTCGCTCAAGTCCTTTGCGTTTGAGACGAGGCCGGGCACCTCCTGCATTATCCGGCCCACGGTTCCACACGACATGTCGGTGGTGATTTTGATCTCCACGTCTGTCTTGGTGGCATCTGCCGCACTGCCACCAGCCGCGTTGATGACAATATCGGACGTGAGCTTTGGCTGTGGAAGGATGGCATGCTCTTTCATGTTCTCCCAGATGGCGAACTCTGGTCCGGTCATGATGATCTTCCACGCTGTGGGATTTGGGACGAGCGTGCCCATGTCAAACCTGCGCATGGCTTTGTATAAACTTTGATCCTCCAAAAGAATGACTACTACTTGGTTACCTGTTTCCGAGCTTGATGATGAGCCTTTCGTCGACACAGGCAACGTACATGTCGAAGTCCGCTGCAAGAATCGTGATCTTGCTGTCTGAGTGTATGCCGTTGTTTCGTCTCAGCTCCATCAGTTGTGAGATCTTGTCCTTCATCCCCCAGTCGAAGAAATGGTCCCAGAACTGCAAGAGGATCGATTAAAAGCTCTCAGGAGGCTCCCAGACTTACAATGCATGGTATGCCTGGATGCGTGATGATGTATACGTAGCCCAAGAGAACTTTGTCATCGGGAAAATTCCAGTGTCTCTGAGTAGATCCCGTGTCGTGATTGTCGACAAACGTTACAGCTTTTGTTGGATACCACCCTGCTCAAGACACACAAAAGCATCTTGTTTCCGGGACGAAACATAGATAAGAAACGTTACCAATAAGACCGGGAGGCTTCCCCTCTCCGTCCCGCAGTCGCCAGTACTCGTTCTTCACGGCATCTTGAAGAACTCCTTTGGTGGTGAAGTCGAACACACAGGAAAGTCCTCCAGTCCCATCAATCCAATCGCAAAGCTGTTGCCTGTGGGTATCTGTGACGACCAAGAGAGTCAATTCTCCTAAGAGAAACAAATGCGCGCTTACTTTGGTTTGCAGCCGCCCTGCCGTTTTCGTAGTTCAACGAAGTCCAGTACTCGCCCACCGAGAAGCTTGGATGTGTTCTCTCGCAGTATCTATATGAACATGCTCGTTGAGAGTTTCAGGAGAAAAAAGAAAGCAAAGTTTGTTCTTACGTGATGTTGGTTGGATGTGTAACGTGTTGTTGCTTACATCTTGGTGTAGGCCGGTGAGTAGCCCTTGACGAAATCGAAGCGCCAACCATCGAATCCAATCTCTGCCTTCATCCAGTTCATCCAGTCTGTGAGCTCGTCTTGCACTTGCTTGTTGGAATGGTCCAGGTCCGGAGCCGCTCCATAGCTCTCACCACTATCCTTGGACCCCTTCCCACCACTGTCATAGATGTCGTTGCTGACCAAAGCCCACGGTCCCCAGTCAAGCCTCTTGTCCTTGGTTCCACCCTCGTAAAGGTTCCAGTGTCCAGTTGAGTCTTGCTTCCAGCCACTTCGATGGTTGATCACGATGTCGGCGATGCAGCACAGGTTATGCGAATGCAAGACGTCGATGCATTCCCTCAGCTGGGCCTCATTCCCGTAGCTCGACGAGTTAAGATCGTAGAGCTGAGTCGGCAAATATCCTGGGAGCAAACCAAAAGCGGTGGAGTCAGAGCAAGTTTGCTGAAACAACAGCCACCAGGAACGAAAAAAGAGTGTTGTACCATGCTTATCAACCGACTGTGAAGGTGGTGGAAACCACACATCTGTGAAGCCGGCAGCTTGGATCTCCGCAGCCCTGCTCTTGAGAGTGTCATACCAAGGCTTCTTTGCTTGAGATTCCCAGTTGAATCCCTGGAAGAAGAAACGATCAATGCTTCGAAAACTAAAAACCATTGCTTACCTGCAAGACAATGTGGTATCGAGAATCCGGATAAGTCGGCCGAGGCGGCCTCTTCTTTCGAACCACACCACCGCTACCACCGCCGCTACCACCGCCCTGCTGCTCGGCAGCGCGAATCGCTAGATTTCGCTTCCTCCATTTCTCTTCCGACCGCGAAATCCCAATCGCGAGCGGGTGACAGATCCCACCAACGCTGTCGGCGTTGCTGCCACTACACCCTACCTTCCCGAAAGATCTTGCTGCCCGGCTCGAAGGGGCCGCGCTTCTCACACTGCAGCAGGCGCCAGCGCTGCCGCCGCTCCCCAGCCTCGCCGCCGAGCACGATGGATCATCCACAACCACGCAGTGGAGAGCGGCGATGGCGCAAGGGCTCATCTCTCCCGCGCATTCTCTCTGTGCCCTAGGTTTCCTCTTTTTTAAAAATGGATTAACTTAGTGATAATCTTGATTAAAAGTATCTAAGCTGGATTAACAGTAGCTTTAGCTTCTTCGTCCTACGAGACGAGCGTCTCTAAGATTTGGTCTGTGAATTCTCGGAGGATATGACCTCTCTCAGGGATTTCGTGGTACTCCACCCACGATTCTAGCTTCTTCACCACCATTCTTTGGAGCTCCACTGGCACCAAGAAATCCTTCTCGCCTTGCCAGACGTGGATGATCTTCTTCGTCAAGTTCTCGCCCTCGAACGGGTTCTCCAGCTCGGCCGGATCAAACGGCCACTTCCCAAACATTACGCTCGAGTCCCGGCACAGCGATTCACTCAGTCCCTGCTGCAGCGCTTCTTTCCTCTCCTGCCAAGAGGAAACTTTGTCAGAGATTTGATCCAAAGGAGGAGAGATTGACGAACTTGGGCATCGGATTCTCTGGTTTCTTCTTGAGCTGCTCGATCAGAGGGACACATATCGGCCTGGTTCATGTTGACGGTGCTGGACGTTGGAAGGATTTTCTGTGTGAGCCACCAGTAGACGAGCCAGGGCGCGTAGTGCGAGACACTGAGGAAGAGGCGGTCGCCCAGCGGCTGCTTGTTAAACACCGCTCGGCCCTCGGGCGTGGACACGCTCGGCCAGAAGTAGTTTACCACCGGCACGACTAGAGCCACACCGGCGAGCCTGAGAGAACAAGATCAAACCAGTGAGACAAACTTTTGTTCTCATAGAAGCAAGCAAAACAAGTCTTTGATCAATGCAGGAAAAAGATTGAGCAGCAAAGATCGAAAACCGAGCCTGGAGACAAACACACACAAGAAAAATCCAGAAACAAATCACGCAAAAATCACCACGAAAAGCTCACGAACAAAAACGCAAGCTTTCCACGCAAAAGGAAAGCGAACCTTTGTGGAATGTATTTAATGCATCCCCACGCGCCGTGAGCTCCAAGAGAGACGGACAGAACGTAGAACTTGGATCCCAGGCCGAGAGAATCGGCCAGTTCTTCCACATCGCGAGCCTCCGACTCGACGCTCCTGGCAGGATGTGGATCGCTCTGTCCATAGCCGGCCCTGTCGTAGCTCACCATGTACACTCCCAGCCTTTCAATCGTATCCTACAGTCACGCATTTCGATCGATCTGTCCAGTGGAGGCAACAACAAGTAGGAATTACCGGCGATGCGCTGATGAGAGCGAGGCGGCAGCGCGTGTAGCCGTGGAGGATGACGATCTTGTGCTTGGCTTGGTCTTTTGGAACTCCAGCTTCCTTGTAGGCGAGGTAGCGGCCATCGCGCAGCTTGATCCGAGGCGCTGTCACTGGCGGGCCGCCTGGAGCTCCACAAATCTTCGGCGGAGGCGCTCGGATGGCCACTACCGCCCAGGACACGAGCACAGTCATCGTGAGCAATGCAGCCTTGGACCAGAGCCCTGGAAGGAAGAAAGAAACACACCGGATCGATCGACGCCCACCAGGAGTGAAGATATTTCGATCAAGATCTTACGCGAGAACGAGGCTGCTGCCGCGGAATCGTTGCGCGTGAAAGCTCGCGCCTTGGACGCTGATACCCTGGCCATTGAATCCCAAATGGCACGAGATAGAAGAAAACCCTACATTAGGGTTCTTGGTGGTGTGGTTAGCTCGCGATGGATGCCACGGGCCGGCCGGCGGTCGTGATCGACAATGGCACCGGGTAAGAACGATCGATCTAGAGCGCTGCCCGCATTCTTCCTTGTGCGATTCAGATCATCGAAATTTCATCCTTGGCAGCTACTCCAAGATTGGATTCGCAGGGAATGTGGAGCCGTCCTTCATAATCCCCACGGTCGTGGCGATCAACGAGTCCTGCCTCGCCGCTTCCTCTCCTGCCGCGCTCTCTCCACAGGGCAAGGGCGGATGGCTCGCGCGCCACAATGCTGGTGTCATGGCCGATCTCGACTTCTTCATCGGCGACGAAGCTCTGGCGCGGACTCACGGCCCCGCGTACACGCTCACGTATCCGATCCGTCACGGCCAGGTCCTTGCTTGCGATTCTTCTCTACCTCTCTTTCTCTCTCTCGTGATTCATGGTTTCTTCTTCGTCCAGGTGGATAACTGGGACGCCATGGAGAGGTTCTGGCAGCAGTGTATCTTCAACTACCTGCGGTGTGATCCCGAGGATCACTACTTCCTCTTGACGGAGAGCCCTCTCACGGCGCCAGAGAATCGAGAGTACACTGCCGAGATCATGTTTGAGACTTTCAATGTTTCTGGCCTCTACATTGCTGTGCAAGCTGTTCTAGCCCTGGCTGCTGGCTACACAACTTCCAAGGTTCTTGGAGATCTTCTTTTTGTTTGTAGCTCACTCTTCTTTGTTTCCAGTGTGAGATGACCGGGGTTGTGGTCGATGCCGGCGATGGAGTCACGCATGTCGTGCCTGTTGCCGAGGGATACGTGATGGGCAGCAGCATCAAATCCATCCCAGTAGCCGGTCGAGACATCACGTCCTTTGTGCAGCAGCTCATGCGAGTACGTATATGGCTGCGCTTCGTTTTCACGCTGACAAGGATGCATGGATCGATTTCCAGGAGCGAGGCGAGCCTGTTCCTCCGGAAGACTCGTTTGACGTTGCCAGGAGAGTGAAGGAATCTTACGGGTACACATGTGCTGACATTGTCAAGGTAGTGCGAAAGATGTTTTTCTTTCTCCTTTGCTTTCCTGCTTGCTCATGCATTGAACTTCATTCAGCATACGTTCGCAATTGCAGGAGTTTAATAAGCACGACAGGGAGCCGTCCAAGTACATGAAGCAATGGACTGGCACGAATTCGAAGACCGGGCAAGCTTACAGTTGCGATATTGGTTACGAGCGTTTTCTCGCTGCTGAGGTAAAGCCTTCGGCTTTCTCTTGCTTGTGCTAATTTGCTTTCGCTTACTTTTTTGCTGCAGTCATTCTTTGCTCCTGAAATATGCAGTAGCGACTTTTCCACTCCTCTCCCTGAGGTTGTTGACAAGTGCATTCAGTCCGCCCCGATTGACACCCGCCGAGCGCTTTACAAAGTAAAACTAAACACGCTCCCTGTGCTCCTCTTCTAACACACTCTAAAACTGTCAACAGAACATTGTTCTCTCGGGAGGCTCCACGCTTTTCAAAGACTTCCAAAGGAGACTCCAGCGTGATATCAAGAAAATTGTCGACTCCCGAACCACGGCAACCGCAGCAAAATACGGTGGGGATGTCAAGGTGTGTGTTTTCTTTTTCTTTTCTTAGTCGTGCTGTGATCTTGACGCTATGGAGACCTTCCAGCCTGTAGAAGTGAACGTGGTTGGACATCCAATGCAGCGATTCGCCGTCTGGTTTGGCGGTTCGGTCTTAGCTTCGGCTTCAGAGTTCTACACGGTATGTGCATTTCAACTTTGATCTCTTCTCCATCTCACTCGCTTGGTGCTGGCATCACCTCAGGCATGCCACACAAAAGCGGAGTATGAAGAGTATGGACCCACTATATGCCGCACCAATCCGGTGTTCAAGGGAATGTTTTAAAGCCAGACAAGGTATTTGCTGTTTTTCGTTAAAGGTTTTCGTATTTCTACCTTGCGATACTCATGGAGGTGATGACGCCAGATCAATTCATGAGATGAAATTTACTGAAAAGATGGATGGAGTGGAAGGCTCGCAGGGAGATGGTGGGTGATGCCAGAACTGTGACGAGTTGCCGAGCAAAGGTTTCCTTGAAGCTGCTAGCAGATCCCGGCTCCGAGCATGGCTTCCTCTCGGAATCATGCGGTGAAATCGAAGAGAGGTTTCGGCCGAAGTGCTAGCCAGACGGGCTAGAGTTTCGTCAAGGCGCGTTTCATCTCTTCGAAGGGAGCGTTTACGCCATGGGTGTGAGGAAAGGGGATCAATCCGAGGTGACTTTGGAGTTGCTAAGCTGTGCGCAGGGATGGCAAAGGGTTTGGAAAGGTGGCAAGTTTTTCTACATGTAGCTATAGATTCTTTGCTCATTTACAGGAGAAGAAGTGGCATTTTGGTCGAACGTTTTGGATTTTGTATCGTCTCCCTTTGGCCCGTTTGAAACAGTCCTGGATGAAAGTCGGATGACAAGAATTTTATATTCTGAGATTTTTGGCTCTCATCTTTGTCTCTTGCATCTTATAAACGCAAATATTGTAGAGACTAGCTTTTGTTTTTCTTTCTTGAGGATGAGGACGAGATGGATGATGCGAGGCTTTAGGAGCATCACAAGCTTCTAACCAGCTTCATCATTTACCAGATTGGTAGAGCGAGCGTACCTTTTTCTCATCTTAGCTTTGCTGTTAGAAATCTATCGACCAGTTCTCCTGCTGTTGTAAGGATGGAAATGGTGGCGGCGGCAATGGTGGAATGAAGTAATTGGACCCCTCGGGGAGGCAAAAGTCGTCCAGCTCTACGCTCGAATCCTCTGTGATCCTGTTTAGTCCCTGTGGCTGCTGGTTGGATGGTGCTGCAGCCTTGAACGAAGCAAGATCCGGCAAATCCATTTGCTCCTCCACCGAGCTACTAAAGCTCGACTCTCCTCCAGACCGCTGCTCCTCCTTGATCGCCGCTGCATTCGCCGTTGGAGCTACACTCCAAGCGCTTCCCCACTCGTCTTGCATCTTCAAATTTCCCAGCTCGATCGATGCTGTTCGTTGCAGAGCTCCGCCACCTCCACCGCTTCGGTTCCGATCAAACGCAACCTGTCTCATCTTGAGAGCTCGAGGACCTTTCAAAACCTGTGCTCCACCACTGCCTCCGTCACCACCACCACGAATCGATGACTGGAGCTGCTTGAGAGCTGTCAAAGTCCCGGGATCAAGTTGCTCCACGCCTTTCCCGAACACACCACCGGCACACGAGGTTGTCCGAGCTATGGAGCTCTTGGATGATCCAGCCGGGCGGACGAACATCGAGCCACCAAAGCTACCACTCTCGTCAGCCTGGAACGAAGCAATCGGATGAGGTTCCATGTCCACCCCGCTCAAGCGCTTGAGTCCCAGGCGATATTTCTACACAGCACCACCACCACCACCACCACCAAAAACCGGTTAGTCATATTAGCTGTGCCGAGAAAGCCAAAACAAAACTTACAAATCATAGGCAATATATCACCTGCAAATGACTTGCGACATTCTCCCTCGTGAGTCCTTGGACATTCATAATCTCCAGAATCCTCTTTGGCACCGCTTCTGCTTCCACAAAGATTTCGATCAAGCATAGCTTCTTCTACTGAAGAAAGATATACAAGCCAACTTACTTTCAACGCCCAGCTGATTCACTGCCTTGACGAACAGCCTGTGGAGATCCCCGGACCAGACAACTCGAGCTTTCTTGAGGCCGGAAATGTCTTCTATCTGCTCATCACCACCCGAACTATCGGCATCCTTTTCTTTCCTCTTCTTGGACGTGTACTCCGGGAACTTCTCGCTGCTATCGTCCCATTCTCCAGACGATTCCTCCTTGGCAGCCTCTCTGGCTCCACGCTTTCGCACTACGTGCTGCCAGATGTTCCGGAGCTCTTCGATGCGCACGGGCTTGAGGAGATAGTCGCAAGCGCCGTGCGTGATCCCTTCCATCACCACGCTCGTCTCTCCATTGCCAGACATCACTACCCAACAAAGATAACACTCTTAGCCATCCAAGTAGTAGAGAGAAAAAAAAAACCCAAGAGAGAGTGAGAGAGAGAGAGAGTATGATCGCTTACTTATGACTGGAAGATCCATTTCCAAGCCAATGAGCTCCAAGAGCTTGAATCCATCCATGTCTGGCATGTAGACATCGCTGATGACGAGGTCAAATTGAAATTTCTTCTCGCGTAGCAGCTGCAGCGCTTCCACGGCCCTGCTGCACGCAGTCACTGGCAGACAAAGATCATCAATTCTCCAGTAAATTCCTCTCGCCCAAAAACTTACCGTGATATTTACACTGTAGGAGCATCTTCTTGAGGAGGAGCAAGCACAATGGATCATCGTCCACAACCAGCACGCGCATTCCTATAGGAAAGCCCTCTCCATCCGTCGTATCGTCGCTCATCGTTTCGGCCCCGGCGACTAGGGATTCCTACCGATTCTAGCCAAATCAAACCCTCCCCCGGCCAAGATCACCGCCAATCCCCTCCCCGGCACCGCGGGAATTCACATCCCCGTGCTGCCAATGGAGTAGAATCCCACACCATCGCCACGCTCGCCCCTAGCCAAAAGAAAAGGAAGAAGAAAGAGGAGAAAAGAGCTCATAGCAAAAGGGAAAGCGAGTCGTCGGATAGGCTACACGTGGTGAATATTCTGGGGATATTCTTGTCCGGGGTATATTCTGCTTGACAAACGCCCGAGGTGACAATTTGTCAACGATGGTGTTCTTCACGTACGGCAAGTTGACACTGCATGCCAAGAGATTCCCGTGAAAGACTGGGACTTTAAACACACACATACACACAAAGAGAAGTTCCTTTCTCTTCTTTAATAGGTGAAGATCTACTCCCACTCTCGGATATAAAACTTCCATCCTCTCATCCCGTACGGAAGACACTCACAAGTTGTATAGAACTTCGTTTTTCCAAGTACAGGAACAAGAATGTTCTCTCCGTCTCGTACGGAAGACACTGTGACAATAAGATTGTGTGGCCCATTCTTTGTCTTGTCGTACATAGTTCTTTACTTTATCTCAAGAGCTTCTCTCGAGGTTTTCCTCGATCAATCACCAACTTTAGTAGAAAACTTTAGATCTCGAGGTTCTGATCTCCTCAGTAGATGGTAGCCATGAGGACGTACGGCGAAGCGCTCTTGCCCTCCACCTCCATGATCTTCCCAAACGCGAGCTTCGCCACCTCCACATTCTTCCACTTCTTACACGCCGCCAAGACGCTCGTCCACACCGCCGCATCCGCTCGCCCCGGCATGCTCTCGATCATCTCCACCGCCTCGCGGAGCCGATTGTCACGTCCCAGCATGTCGATCACGCAAGTGTAGTGAGCGATCCCGGGAGCAACCGACGAGCTCGCCACCATCGCCTCGAAAATCTTCGTGCCTCGATCCACGAGCCCGGCATGGCTGCAAGCCGCGAGGACCGGCAGGAAAGTCGCGGCTTCGGGATCCAATCCTTCCTCCTGGAGCTCGCGGAAGAGCTCGAAAACTCGCGCTGGATCGCCGTGGCGGCTGTATCCACTGACGAGAGCGTTCCAGTGAGGAAGAGCTGGAGAAGTGGTTGAGTCGAAGACGTGGTGCGCGACGACCATGCTGCTGCCACACTTGCCGTAGAAATCGATCAGGGAGCTCGCCACCGCAGCGTCACTCTGGAATCCATCCCGGCAGGCCAGAGCGTGGAGTTTTCTCCCAGAGTCGAGGCTGGCGAGGCCGCTGGAAGCCATGAGAGCCGCGACGATGGTGAGCGGCGAAGAAGAGACTCTTCCTCCTCCAAGAGCCAGCATCTCCTCCAGGAGATCTAGTGCTTGTTGGTGCTGCTCGTTTTCCACGAATCCCAGCATCATCGCGTGCCAGGACACGGGCGTGCGCTGCTGCTGCCCGATCGAGTTGAAGACCAGCTTCGCATCGCTCAATCCTCCACACTTAGCGTACATGTCGATCAAGGTGTTGGCGACGAAGATATCTGTGTCGTGTCCCAGCTCCATCGCTCGGCGATGGATCCTCCTCCCTCTTTCCAAACACTGTTGGAGCTTGGACGAAGATCCACACTTTCCACCATCGCCATCTTTGGAAGCCAAGCTGGTGCAAGCCGAGAGAGCAACCCTGAAAGTTCTGGCGTTTGGAAGAACGCTGCTGCTTGCCACCATGGATTCGAAGAGCTCGAGAGCTAGCTCCGGCTCGCCATTCTCGGAGAGTCCCAGCAGCAGCGACGTCCAGCAAACGACGTTGTGAATCGCCATCCTGTCAAATACCGCTCGAGCGTCGGCGAGGCTTCCACAGCTCGAATACATGTCCACCAGCGTGCTCGCGACGAACAAGTCGGAGGTATCCAGCCCCAGCTTCGCCGCCTCACGGTGGATCGCGATTCCTTTCTCCAGTGACACCAGCTTTAGAGCAGGATCGTCGACTTGTTGGCCGATGCTCGAGCAGGCCATGAGCGCCCCCACCAAAGTCCGAGGATTCGGCGACCATGATCGCTTTCCACCATCACCCTGCGAGAATAAAATGGATAGAGCGAGCTCGGCTTGATCGTTTTCCACGTACCCGAGCAAAAGAGAGTTGAGCACGATCATGTTGTGGCAAGGCATTCGCTCGAAAACTCGTCGAGCATCCTCCAGGCTTCCACACCTCGCGAACGCGTCCACCAGCGCGCCCGCGAAGAAGATCTCTTGCTCCACTCCATGTTCCCGAGCCAGGCAGTGGATCGCCCTCGCTCTCTCCAAACTCGAGAGCTTCAGTCTTCCATCAACGCCTTGCTCCTTTCCTGCGAGACCAGCACAAGCCATGAGCACCGCCACAAAAGTATGAGCGTTTGGATCACACACCTCGAGCATCGAGTGGAAAAACTCCAGCGCAAGCTCCAGATCACGATCGTCGCTGCTCTCAGCGTATCCCAGCAGCAAGCTCGTCCATGCCACCACGTCGTGGCGATCCATCCTATCAAAGACAATGCGGGCATCCAGCAAGCTTCCACTCTTCACGTACATGTCGATGAGAGCACTCCCAACGAAGATCTCCGTGGAGTCGAGCTTGCTGCTGGCTGCCAGGGAGTGGATCGCCATCCCTTTCTCCAGGCAAGAAATCACGGAGCTTCCATCTTTGCTTGCCGCTGCCAGCTTGGAGCACGCGGTGAGAAGAGCCACCAAGATCCTGGAGTCGCCAGCGAGATTCTCGGCCAGGATGCGAGGGAGGAGATCGAGGGCCTGCTCGAAATCCTCGTTGATCACGTAGCCAGTGACGAGAGCCGTCCAGGCGATGGCGTCGCGGCGGATCATCTGGTCGAAGACGCGGCGGGAGCTCTCCATGCTGCCGCAGCGGGCGTACATTGTGGCGGTGGCGGTGGCGACGAAGATCTCGTGCTGGAGATGGCGCTGGATGGCATCGAAGTGGAGCTTCTTGGCCGTGTCCATGTCGCGGCAGGAGCCACACGCCCTGAAAGCGTCCAGCAAGCTCCACAGCGACGGCGAGGGAGGAGACTTCTCATCGCCCTCTTGCTCCGGCGCTCGAAGCGGAGATGGGAATGGGTGATTTCTTGTTCGTGCTGCCCTGAGAGAGAAGCACTTACGTGATCTTAGTAACACCATCAATCATCTTGCGCATTCTCCAAGAACCCTAAACTCCTCTACTTGGAAGAATTTCTTGATAGAACTATCAACTTTAGAACAAAAGGAAGAACCAAATCTTCAAAGCAATTGCTGGAGCGCTTGGAGCTCCTCCATCTCGATCGATCTCGCAGCACTATCGCCCTTCCATTCCTCCACCACAATCTCGTAAACTCGCCGCTGCTGCCGAGGATTCCCAATCACCCGGCGAGCATCGAATTCGCCACAGAGCTTGAGCTTCTTGGACGCCGGCTCCAACTTGTCCACCACGTCGCCCAAGATCGGCTCCTTGGACACATACTCCATCCTCGCCTCCACAAGCTTCCTCATCGCCCTCTTCACGCCATCGCCAAGCTTCATGGCCTCGTCCACCAGCCCCTCCTCTCTCGCCAGCATCCTCCTCAAGAGATTCGCCCTCTTGCTCACGCACTCCACCATCGCTCCAAGCAGCTCCTCCTCCTCCAGCCACAGCAAGAGCTCGAAAACCTTCTTCTGGTCCTTCCAAGTCTTGAAAAAATCCTGGTAGCTACAGAATCGATCCTTCTTTGTGCCGCTGGAGGTGCCACCGTGGTATTCAGTCCAGGCACTCATCTCCGCTAGATCAGCCACGCTCACCAGCTGATCCGCGCAAAACTTGACCAGCACCTTCTTGGCCGCCTCGTTGTTCTTCAAGCCAACCAAGCCCGCAGCCTTTTGCATGGTAATGATCGCAACACAACACTCGCTCTCCCCCAAGAGGAACCGTGACGTGTCCAGTATGAGCTCGGGCTTGTTTAGCAGCAGCATAACCACGATCCAGTGCTCTTGTAGATTGGTCCTTCCCGGACCACTTTTTTCCGTGAACTTCCGTGCAGCACAGTCGCAAGGAAAGGGCCTGGCAGCGAAACCCAGCGCTTCATTGTGATGTCCCAGCGATTCTAGCTCCAGCATAAACTCCACCATGTCGCGCACGTACGCCTCACACAGCTCTCCCGAGCTCTTGCCTTTCAAACTGGACCCGGAACTATCACGACTATAGCCATAGCCATAGAAACGGTGTGGCTTCTTCTCTTCCTCTTTCTCTGCCACCTTTCCATCCTCCGCCATCTTCTTCCTTTCATCCCAGGCTCTCTCCACTTCGGCGCTGCGGCTCGAGAAAGAATGCATCACTTTGGCCAGCGTTCTGCCGTCCAGCCTCTGGAGAGTTAGCTTGCCGAGAATCTGCGAGGCCTCCTGCTGGAGCCCAGCTTCGAGGCAAAACTCGACCAAGAGCGTGATCCCATCATCTTCTCTTTTCGTGAAGCCGCCCTGGAACTCGGCCGGGAGCTCGGTGGAGTTTGCGATGAGCTTGGCACACAGTAGCTTTGCAGCTCCAATGGCCCCGTCCTGATACCCGACCTGGTCCCGCAGCGGCGAAGGAAAGCCTCCCAGCTTCATCACAGCGGCATGCCACGCAGGAGCTTCACCACCTTCGTATTGCCTTAGAAAGGATACTTGTTTCTTAGGTGGAGTCTTCTCCACGCACTTTATGACTCCAGCAACGACCTCCTTGCAAACCTCCCAGCCGTAAGCTTGCACGGCATTGGCGAATTCCCTGGTTTCTATCAGCTCCACACCCCAGCTCCTCATGATCGACAGCGCCTCGTCGCTAAGCCCAGACTTGATGCAAACTTCGAGCAGCATTGCCGGACCATGGAGGAGCTCTTCTCGCTCGTTGTAATAGCTCCTTTCGAGAAGCGGAGCCAGCGAATCAAACCGGTGTGTCAAAGACGTGACCATCTCCTGCAAGTATGCCCTCGACAGTGATTCAGGAGCTGCAAAGTCACCGCCATTTTCTCTCATCCAGTCCAGCACCCAAGGTATGTCCTTTACCGACGAGCAGATCGTTCTCATCAGGCTGCCCTTGGGCCAAACCACGAGCACTGCTACGTGATAGAAGTACTGATCAGTTCCACCTTCGTTGCCAGCCATCATCCCGGTTCCTTGGAACTCGTCCTCGAGGAAATCAAACAAGTCAGCGTCGTCATCGTCGCCATAATTGGTAGCTGTCCTGAGAACTTCTTGCTTGATGTCTATGTTCCACTTCATAAACTTTGCTGGCTGGTCGTCCGCTCTGATCCAATTGTCAATCACGTACTCGACCTCGGAACCGTCTGTCACGGTCTTGTGCTTGGTGAGCATGCAGAGATGGAGCTCCAGAAACTCGCAAGCTCTCACGAGAGCGGGGCCGCCACGCGGTCGTGACCCTTGAGCCCCGCAAAAGAGAGGCTTGTCTTCGAGTATTTGTGAGCCAAAGGAATCGCCAGGAGCTTACGACCCTTCCTGTCACTTTTGCCGACGGCGTCTCGATCTGCTTGACCATCACCAGTAGCAGCCCATTGCTGGAAGAGAGCTCTCACTTGGGGAAGAGCCGAGACGAACGACGGGAGTTTGATTTCTCGGACGGGAGCTCCAGCCACTACTTCTCGACGATCTTCTTTTGCGACTGCGAGCACCAGCTCAAGGAGGTGACGAGCGGGTCGAGGTTGTGCCTGGTTTTTAGCCTGGTGAGAAACAACGTGGAGTTTATACCTCGCAGCACTGCCGTCCCTGAGCCCCGCCGCTGTGTCCCGTGGTCGTCGGAAGTTGCAAGATCATCGTCGCAAACATGCCATCTTCCTTCTCCATGTCCCTGTGGAACTTGAAGTGGCCGCCAGCCTCGTAGAGCAGCAGCTTGTAGAGCTTGACGTCGAGCTCCAGAGCAGTCGAATCCAACCCCATGACGGAGAGTCCATGCGCAGCCAAGTCGTGAGCCACGGACGACAAGAAGTTTGGAACCTCGGGGCAAGAGACCCTCTCGGGATTGATCTGCGCGCTAACCCAGATCCCACAAAGGGTGTTGATTGATTAAGACAGCAGGGCCAAGCTCGCCTCACATCCGTGTCGACGAGAGTTCTCTCCCCAAGGCCGTATGGAGCTTGCTGGCACACGGACTTGATCTTGTCGAGACCCAGGGGCGAGAGTGGAAGATCCACCTTCCACCAGGAGCGACACTGGCATCCGAAACTTTGCTACATCGATCTCACCTCTGTTGAGCTGCGCCATCGCCATTCTCTTCTCTTGGACCTAGACATGTTATAAGGATGGAAATCTTGAATCGTAAGTTCCAAAGCTTTAGGGTTTATCAGGTAAATGCGGGTGCTCTTAAAATTTAGGGCTGCCGCATTGAAACCCAAACCTTATACCCCTTCACTTGCCTTAGAAAGAATACTTGTTTCTTAGGTGGACCTGGTAGAAGTGGTGACAAACAGGTTATTGCCGCGGGCTATGTTCCTGTGGCCTCATGCTCCTGCGGCCTCGTGTGTGGCATTCATGGAGGTGACATAAACGACTACGTGCCAGATTGGCCACGCGTGCATGTGGCCGTCTGCAATCCTCGCACGGCTACCCACTGACCTTAACAACACTCCTGATTCAGCGCACACCTATGGTCAGATCAAGTTGGAAATGAGCGGCAACCATATCAGTTCAGCCTTCACCTGCTTTGCACACAATCAAGTGATACATACACCGTTTATACTTGGCGCTCGAGCGGCCACACCACCTCTAGTATACTCAGTCAGTCAGACTGGCCTCTTCAACTTAGCAATCTGCTAGTGATGCACACACTAACATGCTTGACTCTGGAGAGGCCCGAAGCTCTCAATCTCAAACATCATAATTGGCTGGAACTTCCAATAAGTGTGCACTGCCTCAAGCTTGCATCTACATCCCATAGAACCTTGTCACAAGGGCTGCTGGGTAAGCTCACGATCATGGGGCCACATTGCAATACATCTAAGTCAGTTCCCTTCAAGCAAGTAAAAAATTGTTATATAAGTATACTGTGACGTCACCCTAAGACTGTTAAATGTAAGCTTGCCCACTAATCAAGTGGTGGCTTCTTGTTTGGCTATTGTGGGGTAGAAAAATGACATGGCAAATAAGCTTCAAGGAAAACTCAATGCCACTTCCACTAGCAAAAGTGTTAAATGAAAAAAGTGTGTGATGGAAGCATTATCTCTGGCTGCCATGGAAAAGGTTACAATTGAAGTACCTGTTAGAGGGTCAAGATATAGTAGGACATACTGCATAGGTTTCTCAAGCATCCTTCCATGGATGATGTTTTCAAGAAGTCAGTGATGGTTAGTGTTGTGGCTGATAAGGCCCTTGAGAACCTTATCTTTAGGCCAAAGCGTCCACCATATGGCGAAAAGAGCAGCATTAGATTCAGTCTTCAAATAGAGAAAGCTGTAGACAGATCATAGTTGGCGGGAGAAAAGAGAAGCCATCCAAGAATCAGATATCTCTTTGATTTATTTGTTTCCCTATGTCATGTGCTCATTAGGACAAATCAGGGCATCACTCAAAACTTTCCTTGAGAAGCCAGATATATTTTTCCAATTCATAAGTCCCTGGATGAGGTTTGTGGTTTTAGGAAAGTTGTGACTCTTGCTTCTCAATGTCTTAAGCCAATCTTTTGTTTCTCAATGCTATGCAATATGACAGGGAGACAATTGAAAACATAATTGGTTTTTGTGACTTGTCAGATTGAGCTGTAGAAGGCCTTTGGCAAGGAGAACTATGAGTGTACATGTGTGTATCTTATAATGGTGCAGGATGCATGGGAGTGTGCATGACATTGTGGACTTTTTCCTTTGTCCACAGCATGATGGGAGCATTATTGCTAAGATAAATTCATCCACTAAAAGATCTTCTTGTTGAATAGGATGTCATCAATTGAAAAAATAATTTGAAATGAGTAATATGCAAAAAGAATATGCAAACTTTCACTAATGGGTGCCTAATCTACTGATGGTAGCTGGTGTACAAAAAATGGGAATTGTAAATGGTATGTCTTTTTTGTTTTGGTTTGTTTGTCAGCTAACAATCATCTAGGAATTCAATGTGGGCGTTGTAATCTTGATGAGCATTAAATCATTGCAACCAAGTCCAGTGTACAAGGATCCTAGAAAGGTTGTCCTTTTCATCTGAGTCTGCAAGAGCT